TATTAGAGAGGGGGCTTATTAGAGAGGGGGCTTATTAGAGAAGGGGCTTATTAGAGAGAGACCAGGCTAATCAGAGCTGGTACTTATTAGAGAGGGACCAGGCTAATCAGAGCTGGTACTTACTAGAGAGGGACCTGGCTAATCAGAGAGGAGCCACACTAATCAGAGAGGGGGCTCATTAGAGAGGCACCAGGCTAATCAGAGGGGGGTCTCATTAAAGAGGCGCTGTGCTAATTACAGAGGGGGCTCAGTAGAGAGGAGACTAAATAGCAGAGAAGGTGCTTATTACAGAAGGGGCTCATCAGAGAAAGGGGCTTCTCAGAGAGAGAGGCTTACAGGAGAGAGAAATAATAGATGGGGGATTTATTGAAGAGGAGGGTTGATAAGAGAGAGGGCTTTTAAGACGGGGGCTGATGAAGGAGAGGGGCTTATTAGAGAGGCCCTATAAGAGAGGGACTAGGCTTATCAGAGAGAAAGGCTTATTTGGATGTCATGGTAAATGAGGGATTCTGTTTTGCTTGGTTTAAACCCCTTTGTTAAAACTTAACAAGCAGTTTAAACTAGAATAAAAATTCTAGCCACAGTTTTCCATTGGTCATTCATGCATGTGCTTTCTTTGAACAAAAGACAAGGACAAGGATGAACCTACCTTTTACACATCTGGGGTAAAACAACACGTGTCATCTAAAAAGGAAACTCTAAAGGTTACCAAGAGCATGACATAGTATGAGGGTATTATGAGAAGTTGACAGTTAATACTTTTGTTCTAAAGCTAGACAGGTGTAAAGCATACCAAGAAATAAAGTCATTATCACACATTGTTCCAAAAAAAGGAAAATTTCCAGCTTCTTCATTGGTATTCCTAAGAACCTGGAGCACAATCAAACCACTTATTTGCAGAAATTTTTCTATCATTATTACTTGTCAAATATTAAATAAAACAATTTTAATCAATGTCAAATATTATAAATATTCATTTACATCCAAAGTATCTCAAGATACTTTGGAGTTAATTTAATCAGAGTTACATGTAATATTGTTTTTATTAAGGATACACCTAGGATAGCAGATAGTTTTAGGCATTACTATAATTGATAAACTCACAATCTGTCACATGACCTAAAATTAACACTTACCATTATAAGCGAAGTCATGTTAATATTTATCAAGTCAAAAAGTTTCTGCATTTTAAAGAGAAGACAAAAATGTTTGCAGTCTTATTCAGTTTTTAAAAACTGACATGCCATGGGAGTATATGTTATTTTATTTGAGTTCACCATACCTATGGCCTACTTCCACCCTGGTTACTCATGTCTGTAGTATGCAGTTGATTAATGTTGCACAAGCTAGTTTATCGCAAGTCAAAAACACCCTTGCCTCCCTTCCCATGCATTTCACCAGGTTTCACTGACAGATCATTGGCACCTGTAAACACTCCAAGGTGGGGAGAGGCATACAAGAACAAAGAGTCTTTTCCCAGTGAAAAATACAACAACCAGGGGAATGTTTCTCAAAGGTCTCAATAACTTAATGGGTTTGTAAAGCTGTTTTGTTTTCATTTAAAATAGGGATTTTAAAAGCTTTGAAAATTATACAATAAAACTATCAGCTAAAGAAACAAAATGAACCAGTAACTGCAGTGCCAGACACTGCTTCTCTAATTTTTAAATTTTAATTTCCTTTTAAATATAGCTTTGGGTCCATAAAGTTCCCAGGACTTTCAAGAAATGGGCCTCTGGTAATGAATTTAGGCGAACGGCTTCTTGCCTGGATAGGATGTTATCCTATCAGGCATTAAGTGAATCAAACAATAGAAGAGAGACAAAAATGGAAAAAAAAAATGATGCATATGATTTAACCACTATGTACTTCAGTGTATAACTTAAAATGTCAAAATGCTGAGGCTGACATTTTTAACAAAGCTAGGAGCATTTAATGTTACCTGTTTGGGAACATCCAAAAAGTATTGTGGATAGTCATACATTACACCAACGTTGTTCACTAAAAATTGAAAAAAAGAAGAAAAATGAGAAAAAAAAGAGAAAAGGCGGTGAGAGAAATGGCATAATTCTAACATGCTGAGGCTTTTTAAAACAATAAAAAAAAGGAACTTTTTATGCAGATGCCTAGAATTATGACCCATCCCCAGGACTACACCATACGACAAGCTTAGAGGTGGTAAGTATATATCAACTATATCTCTGCACAAGTAGGATCTACAGAAAATATAGCATGTGGGTCATGCAGTTCACTGTTTCTTACTTGTAATAATTATCATTATTAACCAATGAAATAACACGTCTTCAGAAAAGTAAGTACTGATTGAATACCTGCCTTGTATTGGTCCTTGATCTCTTAAATTCAATAATGCTGGGTACTACCTTTATAAATATAATTTCTCACCTAAAATGCCTATGTCGAGTCCCTCTAGTGAAGTGGTTATTTTCTGGTAAACATCCTGTGTGGCAAAGTCTATTGGGATGATACGTGTTTCAACCTTGCATTCTTTTTCTATAATACAAGAATTGCGACATAATAAGTTTGTAATATTATAAAGTTAAAAATGATCGAAGAGGAACTACCTCTAGAAAATACTCCCTGGACATTCACACAATTGCTCTGAAAACATATTCTCAGTTGTCATCAATCTAAGATAATTGTTAACACTAATTTCTCCTCCACCCCTTCTCCCCACTTGAATAACCTCTGATTAATGGCATGTTTAAACACTCTTGAATTTTCAGAAATTAGGGTAACTGGGTATGGAAAACTATAAGAGAAATTAGAAAACAAAATTTTACCAATGTTCAATGTGTCAACCAAAACATTTAATCCATAAAAACTTCTTAATATTGTCTTTTATAAGCTATAGCACTAAAAAATTTAAACGCCTATTTTTTTTCACTAACCTATGGTCTCTGCAACCTTTTCCAATTTTTGGGTTGAGCGACTCATCAGAACAACATTCATTCCACATTGTGCCAACTGTCTTGTACAGAAATTTCATACATTTGTGACAGTTCAGCTCACTTTGAGATAATTAGTGTAGAGGATTCAAGTTTAGTCTTATTCACAAGCCAAGTAACCCACAATGCCAGAGTTCATCTTGTTTTATTGACCAGTTACTGGAGGTATGGAAGTATTCCTCCTAGTCCCCCTCCCCCCTCCCTATTCTTCCCCTGAACCGTTTGAGGTCATGGCGTTGTATTGTAAAAAACCCCTACTACAGCCAAGTTGAGTAAGACCGACCCAAGGGCATGATATGCAAAATAATTTACCTCAGTAGTACTCCTACACAATCCTGGGTAGAGAGAAGCTCAGCAAGAGTTAAGAGTCTTGCATAATAACTTCACATCCATAAAAGTAAGGGACTCTGATTTTAATTCATATGAACACCATTACAATTATTTCAAATGCTCACAAATAATGACATTATTACCTCACATGCAAATGATCTTCCTATTCCTTCAGATGCACCTGTAACAACTGCCAAATAAAGAATCATTGGTTTAAGAAATAAAATCATAGTAATTGCATATCAGTATTGCAATCTTCAAAAAATATAATTACACCAAAATATGAAAAAAAAAAAATTGACTGTCAATAACATTGGTCAACCCCCCTCCTCTCTCCTATTTGCTATTTGACTTTTCTATGCCAATCTTTCCCTGCAAACTGAGGATTACTACAAACTTCATCAAAGTGTTTTCCTATGCCTGCAAATAGACCTTTTAGTAAATTCTGGTCCACTCTTTTTAATCAATTAAATAACAACACCTCAGTGTCAGCAGCTAGTGGCAAACACTTAACTGATCTGCAAAGCAATATGGTAAATATCCACAGCTAGCCATCAACACTAAGGTTAATTAAGCTGTTTTTGTACATATGAAAATAGTGAGATGATCTAGCACAAGAGGATGATTTTAACTCATTTATTTGTGCAATGATTGCAATATTTTTATATATATTGGTGCAAATTCTGGTAAGGTTCATGGAGTACAAGGCATAGGGTCAGTCACTGACCATTATCTGACTTGATCGTTTAACCCCTAACAGTGACCAGCATCTCATTTCTCCTCACAACATCACCACTGAATCATACATTTATGACATGAGAATAGAGGAAATAATCACCAACTAAAGAAACTCTTGATTATAAGAAATTCTCCTTGTCAGCACTTTAGTAAATGTACAGAGAACAGTTGGGAGAATATGAATATTGATGTTGGGGTGTAAAGGGCTAAACAGTCTGCTTATCATTACTTTGAGTTCTCACTAGTTCTGATCGTTGGGATATATTCCTTTCTTCTGATTGCCATGAAACTCTAACCAAAAGATGTCTGAATTTTAAACAAATATATATATGATGCCTCACCTGCCCATCTGCCGCCATATTTGGTACGAAAATTATTCCTTCGCGTGGCTTGAGCTAACAAATATATTCTCATGCCTTTCACGATGTTGAAAGCAAGAGTTAAAGATACTTTGGCTGTCCACAAAAGACCTACTTAGGAGGACAATTAAACAAAAAAGAAAATCTGAGTTCAATCAGCTAATATATTTTATTTCCCGTACAGTACAGTCTCAAAAAAACTGTAATGTAAAAAACTGCTTGTTCTGTCCAGATTCACGATTTCTTTACCGCGAAACTCCTACGTATTAGTTTCTGAGCTGCATCCAAATATGAAGATATCAAGATGCAAATTATAACCCTGGTATAAACCTACAGCTCTTACTATCGCATTTGCGAATTAAACCTATATCCTGAACAATGGTAGGAGTCAATTTCGACGAAAGACTTACCTAAAAGTGCTAATCCATTTTTTAAGCCAGAGTTATCCAGGTATGATAAAATACACGCCAGATAGTCTTGACTGTGGGCCGCCATATTGAATATATTCGTACTCCAGATAAAAAAGTAAAAGTTGATAGGAACTGTGGACAAAGGATGGCGGATCTAGCTTTTCTTGGCTAAAATCTTGGTTGGGATAATTAATAGTTATCCATGAATACTGATTCAAAGCTTCATATTCTCCACCTGAATTACAATAAGAGAAAGAGCGTACAAAGGAGAAGGTTTGCATCGATTACTATTTTGAAAAGTTTTGTTATGAGAATATTTGTTGTAACATACAGTCGAACCTCCTGTAAGCCACCACCCGAAAAGTTAAGTCTGGATTTTCATATTTTGGGAAATTTGCATATGGTGACCGAACCTTTTCGCCAGCGCTTATCGATACCTGCACTTGAATTTTTTCCGCTAAAAATATTTCATGTACTTTAGTCTAACTTGGTTGGGAGCTAATATTGAACGGCATGTTTGCAATGTTAGTTCAGGCGTAAATCCTGTGGCATTTATTGCATACTCCAATTCCGCATGTCTAGTATTATTGAGATAAGAGAGTTTTTTCCTACGAGTGATCAAATCCACTTTTTGTTTATCAATTCTTCGAATTCTACTAACGCGGTAAAACTATTTCAGGAAATACTTCCGATGGATTTTCTTTTACGACATCTTTTCAGTTTCCGATCGTGAGAGGTTTTTCCTGTTTAGTTTCCGCTCGTGAGAAGCCGATTTCCTGTCAAGTGGTCGCTTACGAGAGGTTCCATTTATAGTAATTTGACTTGGAAACTTTTGGTATTGTGAAAAACTTTTTGCGGATGGTTGCTTACGAGAGGTAGTCGAAAAGGGAGGTTGGACTGTTTACTTATTCCTTTTGTCTCAAGTTTAGTTTGAATATTGTTGACGTCATTTCTCTGATAAATAAGGCACTAAGCAAAGGAAATTTTTGGTCGATTTGTTAAACTGAGAGTCCTTTTTTACTATTTTTAGCCCATGTCTCTCTGTCTCACCAGTGTCCGAAAATCACGTAACACCAAGAATGGATTAGCCCGTGATGACTGATAACAGAGGTATTTTTCAAAAATATGAAAACAAAACCGAAGAATCGTCAGATAAAAGATACTTGACATTTGTGAAAAACTATCCGTCATTAAACAGAACCGGAATGGATATATTTCATTCTACTCTGTTGGACTATGGCGTGTTAAGGACCCCTCTGAGCTTTATGAACTAATAAGTTAAGGTAGGGTTGCAGACATGATTCCTTACTTCCTTTTCTTTTTTCCCTCATATTGGAGATGAAATTGCAACATGTGGCAAGTATGAGTGCCAGCCTTGATTTATTATTTCATTTCGCACAGAGGAATCCACTCGATGTCAAATGAAGTTCGTGCTATCTGCTCTTCAAGTAAATGAGAAATCCGACCTGGTAATTAGATATACGAAGTCAAATAAATGAAGTTCTTTTTTGAGTACATCTGGCGTTTTGTTTGGCTTTTTTCCCAAAGAAAGAATTCCGCTTGGCCTCATTTAGTGACAGACTCCTTACAATCTGTCAGTTGAATGATTCATACAGTACCTGCGGAGCTTCAGTCAAGTTTTCCTCAACTAGTATGCGAGCTCAGGTTTGGTTCGTTTTCATCCCGTTCCTTGTAATCCTCTCATCATCAAAAGGAATTCCTGTTACCCAGTCACCGTCTAGAGTACCAAATCCGACCGGATCGTTGGATAAACGAGGTGAGACCAATTGCAACGTTGTCGTTTATATTTGCTTTCCTATAAGCTCAAAGCCTTTGTTTGGATGATAACCCAGTTATTCTCTATCCCAATGTTGAGTGGTTGAACAAGTGCTCGTGAGACAAAATTCTATTTGTCTAGACCCTTCACATACGACAAGTTATCGATGTGTAACTTGCGGTCTCGCGATTTCGATCCACTGTCTCACAAAAATATGGTGAGAATAGACAAAAAAAGCATGATTTTAAGATTGCATATGGCTACTGATATAGCACAATCTCTACGACACTGAAAAGAACCAGAGTTTGTATAATGATGCTATTCTTTGCTATTCCATGATGGAAGTGTTGCAGATGATTTGTGTCACATGCAAAACAGAAAACCTGCCGCATCCCACACATTTATGAGCACCCTGTTGATTTAAGAATATATAGTGACAATTTGACACTCAATAGATAATCATTTCATTGCAATTTCATTTCTGTGAGACTTTCGTTTCATGCAAAGAGGCATTCCTCGTTGTACTGATATTCTGCCATTCCACCATTCCACCATTCCACTGGTCTATCATTAAGCAGAATAGGGTCACGGTTACATGTTCTCTCTTTAAAGAAAAAAAAATTTCCTGTAAGTTTTCATGTATGCCGATCACACCTTTAGAGACATTTCTGTAAAGAAAAGCTTCGTTTTTTCACGTGCCATCCTAAAATGATTTTGAGATGTTATCGTCTTCTGCAGCACTCCGGAACAAACAGTAATTAGCGCCGGAAATTGGTTGAAGATCGGAATTCTATCGTTACTCATTATCACTCGTTCTCACTCGCTCACTCACTCGCTTATCTCGACAAAGTATGTGGCAGCCACAAAAATAGTAGATAGGGGATGTTATCTTGATAAAGCATAAATCAGTGCAAGAACATGAATGATACCCAGAGGGGGAAATTACTAATTGGATCTTTCAATTTGTAAGGGTACACCAATTATTAGCTGCTTTGTAGCTCTTTGTCAGGCTGCTTCTCTCTAAGGCCTTGGTCGCACTAGCGCTTTTTTGTTTGTTTAAGTGAAAAATGTGTCGACAATTAGTGTAAAGTATTATTCCGCTAGTGTAATTTGGCACGCGATGGCAGGATTTTCCTCGTCCAACTGACCCTTTTTCTTTTCAGAATTCTCCACCGAATACGTTAAGGAAAATCACTGCGTAACGCTGGTTCGACAATCAAAAGGACTTTATCTTTTTGATTTCTTGCGTTTATTTACGATCCATACAATATCCGAACTTTCTACATTCAAACGATCTCGATCTGTTCTTTTGTTCGGCTGCAACGACGTGTGTAAATCTGGTCTTTCCTCCGCAAAAACTAAATTCGAATGGCACACTCCAATGAAACACACGGGGATTCAATGCGGCCTTTTCTCATTAAATTCCTTCAGTTTCTGTCGTGCAATTTACAGTACAAACGTCCAAATTGAACGGACTTGGAAAGACTCAACGAGAGCGTATATTTGTTGTAGAACTTAAATTAAAACTTCACTCGCTCTTTCACTACGAACAAATTGTTTGAGAAAATTCAGATATTAAATGAATGAAAGTTCCATCGTTCAGTTGAACTGTAACCAATCACTTCACGTTTTAACTTTCTATGTAATTTTTGTGAACGATTAAATTTAATTGCAGACGGTTTTTAGGCCGCTTGTCAACCAACGTAATGACACTATTGTTTATACAAATTCATTCTGAAACCAATATTTTTCTCTCAACCAAAGTGATTTGATAGAGAGAAAAGAGAGGATTCATAAGTTATTTATCGGCTTGAGGTAGTGACCGACGTGTTTGCTTAAAAATACTGCCCAGCCGGAAAACGAGGTATATTTATGAAAAATGACAACGAAAGTTGGGATGTACTCGGCGACTCACGAAAGCGTTACCGTGGTCCGTGGGCAGAGATAGGAAAATACTGACCAGGTAAAGAACCAATCAGATTGCAGGATTCATTACCGTGCCCTCTAGAAAAAAAAAAATTTTATGTCGACGAACCATACTCTCTGATCTTCAACTATTAAATAAAATAAAACAATTGCGATATGAAGCCACATTGTGCTTTTGTCTTAGCTTGTGGGTAATGTAAATTGTTGTCATTGGAGTCGCAAGTCGAGCAATGAAGACTGTAAATAAAGCAAGACTGCAAATAAAGCGTGAACAATGCTTTGGTCGAAAATCGCTTTGTTATTTACGCGGCAAGTTCTTCTTTCACGTTTGGGTTATAACAACGATGCGATCACACGGTGTTAACGAAGAAACGATAGAACCTCAAGGGAAGTAATGTGTGTGAGAGAGGCCAATGATCTGCGGATAGCAAGTTTTCCTGAAATCGGCAAGAGGTTATTCATCCGTTGTTACCGGAAAATACTGGTCAAATTTTCTACTTATCCCGACCCCCTTCAATGAGTACTTTTGCTTGAAGACAGAACTACAACGGAGTCTCTCCGAACATTCTTGCTACAAGACTGCAATAACCGTGCTACGCTCAATTATATACACCTAAATCTTAAGTAACTCAACTGTCATCAAACCGCTTAATTACTAAATTAGAAAGTAAAATATCACACCTATGCTTACAAAGATTGTTTCGAGGGAAACGAGGCGTTTGAGAGCGAATTTGGGTGGAGTGGGGGGGCGCGCTTATTAAATAGCACAGCAGCAGGACAAAAATTAAAACAACAGATAACTCACAAAGAAAACTCTGCGAGCACATGGAGATAGAAATGAGTGGAATCAGGAGCCCATTACTTTGAGCTCCTGCTGGAGTGGAAAAGAAAGAAATCTTCTGTGCCAAGAGAATATCATTCGATATTCTCTTGCCTTCACTGATTCCGCTGTCGTTGAAGCCTAAAAAATGTTTGGATATTTGAAACCTTTTTTCAGCTCTGTAATAGTTGGCGCAATGCATTTCCATATAAGATGACTCTGAATTAGAGCTAATAACAGACGTTGAGTGAACCAGTCAGAGCTCTAGAAATGCAATGTTTGGAGTTGAAACTTAAATAAAAAAATGATTTTCGGAGTTTGCATAGCCAGTTAAAACGCTCCTTCATCGCCATCCAATGTTTTAATAATGCTAAATAATATTATCTGGAACAGTTTCAATTTTCCTCCATATTTTTTACAGAGGCATGCAAATTCGACTTTGAAAATGGGCTCCATGGCTGGGAAAAGACTGGTACAGCTTTCAATAACCAGCCGACATACGGTGACAACCCTACAGCTCGGAATCGGGGACAACCTGCCAAACAGCAAGGGGATTGGTGGATTGGGGGTGCCGAGGACAGACCATCAATTATGTCAAAGGCAGGACTACTACAAGGAGACAGACCACAGGGAACCATCACTTCGCCCTCCTTTGAAATTATGGGCAGTCTCATTGCATTTCTTATCGGTGGAGGCTGTGATATAAACTCTGTTCGTGCTGAATTGATTGTCAATAACAAGGTAAGAATCATGAATGTAAATACTTTCGAATGAGTAAAACTAAAGAGAAAGAAGGAATCAGAAAAAAATTTTGAGAGAAAAGAGGCTGTGGGCGTTAGTCACCGTGATATGAAAAAGTGCAACGAGAACGTACTATAAATAATGGTAATAGTAGCGAGTGGAGTTTAATTCGGTCTGTAAACATACCCGTGATTAAGAAAATCGGACGACTGCGAAGAGGGAGTCTGATTTGTCAATCACGAGTATGATTACAGACAAAATTGGACGACACGAAGTCCTGTTACCAATTAATCATAACCCTTACAATTTCCCCAAAAAAGAAAAGACAAATACATTTAGGACAAACATCTCTGGAAGAGATCACGTCCAGAGTAAAAATATCATCCATTTTGAAAATTCTCTAGTTTTTATTTTATTTTAGGATAAGTGGTTGTTGGGATGGTTATTGTGATCAATTCTGTGATTGTTGGTTTTAGCTGAGTGGACTTAGTACGATTGGCTGCTTCAACTGTCCGATTACAGGCGTCCGTGTTAAAAGGTTTTTCTAACATTCTTTGTTCAGTTGATACTTCTGTATTTCCTTTCTTAAAAACCCAATACAACGTGCTAGCTCAGGGACTAACTCTACTCTCTCAAGGAAACTGTTGGTCTCTAGCTTATAAAGGTGACAGTTATTCAGCTGTCAATATTTGACCAATGCCACTATTTCTCTCCTAGCTAGTGAATCATGTTAAGTTACGTGAAACAGATCCCGCATACTAAGTTTGTTGACTCTTTCCAAAACGACTTTTTACCTAAAATTTCATACTTTTGCGGTTAAGATCGGGAAAAACAAAAACAAGATTGATATTATGAAAATTATAAAGGACCCATTGCATAGATTAGAATTACACTTAAAAAGATAACTAAAGAGAAAATAGCCCTCAAAGTTTTTTACATAACAACAGAAAAACAGAGAATTCGAGTAAGAAAGAGCGTACCCTAAGTACCGCCCCCAAAAGAACAACCAGCCGTTCATGCAAGTTAACTGATTATAAATTCAGTGCAGGAGATGAAAAGTACAAGTTGTTTACGCCTTTCGTCACCTTACAGAAAGAGGTGTTGAACGTGCTAAATTAAAAATTAACATGAAATTAATCTGGAAACGAGCCTGAAAAGAATCGGAAGTGTAAGAAGGAGGAATTTCTAGGAATCGATCAAATTACTCTCTTATTCATCAAGTGGATTATCATAAATGAAATACATCTAATAATTACCGAAAGATAATTGATATATTACCGCAAGCTCCAATCACCGTAGAGAGTGAACATCTGCTTTCTTGTCAAACTCGCGATGAGAGAATATATATGCCATAATCAAACGGCTTAATGCAAACTTTTGTGAGGTTAAATGAATTTTTTTCTCCCAGAAAGAAACAATATAACAGTTACTCTACTAACAAAGTAAGACCGCCATCAAAATAGGAAATTATCAACTGCTTACAATATTTTTTAACTGAATACCTTATGCTTATACGCACATTCGCAACACCAAGATAAGAAAGCTCTTATAATGCTTCCAAATAAGATATGTTTTAATTTTTTCGTTTAACATCTGATTGCAGCCGACTGGCCAATTACAACTGTAAAAAAGTATTAGTGAAAAATAAAGCAGCTAATGCACCAATCACATTTGAGGAAATGGTAATGGTTATGATTAAAAACTAAACGGCTGAAAAACGGCTTTTTCTTTGTTCTACCATTTAGCAAACACTTTAGCCTCCACATTATTAGAATAGCCTCGGTTGAACTAAGAGAATTTAGAGAGGAGACGGAGGAGATAGCGAACGCTTTTATAGAAACTAGAAACGTCTGTATTAATCTTGAGTTTAAAAGAGACATCTTTACAATCTATCCACGATGCACAGCCCTAGAGGGTTCCTCGTACAAATCTGTTATTTCCTCAAGTCTCATTTCCGGCCCTGTGACCGCGAGCTTTGGTATTCCAGCTGGTAAATCACTTTGTCCTTTGAAAACAATTAAATTAAACCTTGCGCCACTAAGATGTTGATTTATGGCTGTCGACGCTCTGTCAAATCTCTTTTATAATGCGGCGCGTTCCATGCACCTTACTGAGTGAGGATTACTTCACTGTTTATACTGCTCCATGGATGATTTTTTTTTTGCTTTATTACTGGATATACATGTCACATATATTGCTCATCGCGAGAGAGCCATGAAATTTTTTTTACCTCACTCCCTTTACGAGACAGATCTTCTCTCAATTTTTATTTCTTCTGGCTTCTTTGCTTATTTTTCGCTTTAACTATACTAATGCTTGTTCGCCAAATGAACTATTTGAAAGATGTAGAAAATTAATCACAATTTCTTTTTTTCCCGAGTGAATCTTGAGATTACATATTCTCTCAGTTGTTTTGATACTCCTTCGCTCGCTTTTTAGGTTGTGCGAAGAACAACCGGTAAGTGCCATGAAACAATGACCCGTCAATTCTGGTATGTTCGAGACTTTATTGGTCAACGTGCTCAAGTCAAATTGGTTGACTTCAGCTCTCGTGGATGGGGTCACATCAACTTTGACGATCTTGAAGGCGACATAACCTGCTCAAACCTGGAAAACACTGGTATTTATTTAGCTTAGGAGGTTTAAAATTCTAAGGTGAATATTATAGGATCAACCTGTGACAATTTTCAAGAAAACTTTTCTGGTATAAATCCATCTTGGAACTAGCTGGAGAAGTAAACTGTTTGGATCAGCTTTCATGAACGATAAAAACTGACTGAGTCAGTTATCCTAGGATGATAAGTAGTTATTGACAGAATGAGAGGGCCGCACGGGGAAAGATTTGCCTGGGTGCACTTGGTCTGTTTGTCACAACCGAGAACCAAATAAGTGTTAATCATATGAACATCAAGTCTTGAAAATTTTGAGATTATGTTTGAACTTAAATAAGGCGCGATTTCAAACAGAAGAACGACGAGCGCTTACCTAAAAGAATTCTTAGACGAAAGCTTTTTCCTTTACTTCCCCTAGTCAGAACAAGAAACTCTTTCTTTAACAAAATACTCAACTTTTTCTTTCATTTCTGTTTTATTTTAAGTCTTTGAAACTGAGCCGTGCAGGTGCGGGGTCGGACGGCTTTTCTGGACCGGCTTACGTCAGGCCATTCGGCCTTTTATAAATCAGGTTTAATTGTACGCTTTTCTACAGGATTGCGTGGGCTGGGCTTTACGACCGATATCTTAAAAACCGATATCTCTAAAGAAAGCTGCGTGTTCGACTTCGAAGAAGGTATTGATAACTGGCATAGAACCGGTTCAGCGTTTGACAGCCAGCCGACATACGGTGACAACCCGACAGCTCGTAGGAGAGGACAGCATGCCAATCAACAAGGGAACTGGTGGATTGGAGGATACGAGAGGCGGCCTTCAAAATCGGCTCCTGCAGGATACGGACAAGGAGACGGGCTACAAGGGACTTTAACGACTCCATCATTCATCATCGGGGGAAAATACATTACATTCTTGATCGGTGGAGGTTGTAACATCAATTCCGTTCGCGCTGAACTGATTATTGATTATGAGGTATAATTCAACTCAAGATTATTCACTGAATCACCTGGTGTTAATGAAAGTTACTTTAAAACGTTTATTTTCTATCGATTTTTGTGACGGAAGGGATTCAGTACTTGACTTCAAGCTTTAGTCAGGTTTAGAGTAATATATTAAGGAACTCGTTCAAGGGCGCATGTCAGTGGAAGAAACAATTGAAACTCGCAAAATACATCGTTGTTCTGTTTCAGGTTGTCAGAAAAGCGACCGGGGAGTGCCACGAGACAATGACCCGTAAATTCTGGGAAGTTGGAGATTTCATTGGCCGAACTGCGCAAGTCAAACTGGTGGACTTTAGCTCTGGAAGCTGGGGTCACATCAACTTTGATGATCTGAGAGGCGACATTACCTGTTCAGCTCCTGAAAACACTGGTACTTATATTTCTGTTGGGTTTAAATCATTTAAACTTCGTTATCCTATGTGTGTCTATCGTGTGGCCACGCAGACTTCTAGACAATATGAATGGTTAGACTAGAATCGGCTTGAAATGATGTACGAGGTTGGAGATACTCTATGCATTTTCTTGGTTGAGGTGAAACCTCTGTGTCACAGGAGACATGCGGCATTGATGTTTTCCATATATCGGAGACTAATTATAAAGTTACATATGCAAAGGTAAAAATTTCTCGTGAACCGAACTCCGTTGGTTTAATAAAATTAGTCTCCTATAGTTGTTAGGAGTGTCAAAGAGTATTAAGCTCAATTTAACACAAAAGTCAATTCAGTAATAACGGTAGGGAATGTTGTTCCTTTGGTTCATTACACAGATATTCTTGACAAAGCATTATGCAGCTTTGACTTTGAAGAAGGACTTGATGGCTGGGTTAGGACTGGTACAGCATTTGACAACCAGCCGACCTACGGTGATAACCCTACAGCTCGGAACCAAAGACAACCTGCCAACCAACACGGGGACTGGTGGATTGGAGGATACGAGGACCGACCATCGAAGTGGGCCACAGCAGGACGAAGTCAGTTGGATGCACCACAGGGAACTCTTACGTCTCCAACATTTGACATACAGGGAAATTATATTTCGTTTCTGATCGGTGGAGGCTGTGACGTAGACGCCATTCGTGCTGAGTTAATAGTCGATGACAGAGTGAGTAGGACACTGAATTTGGTTAAGGTGGGGTTTACCTTGCAGGAATTGACCAAAAAAAAAGCTGGTGAGCCTAAGTAAGACGGCCAGATACCATAGTGGAGACATTTTCCTCCAATCATAGACAGAGTCGGGCGAGAGAATTCTGTTCATCAATAGTTCTTTAGGCTGCTTAAGAAATTCACAGCCTATGATATATTCGACAACACCAGCAACTCTTTCTAGTTCAAATGTGTGCAAGGAATCCTTGCAGTTAAAAATACGTATGCGTTATTGATCAAGCGTGACGTCAAGATGGCTAGATATTGGCCGAGTTCTTTGTTTCTGTGTGTTTTTATGGATTGAGACGAAGTCGAGGTCCATAAAAACCCAAAACAAGAACTCGGCCAATATCCAGCCATCTTGACCTAACAAGCATGGTCAATAAAGGATTTAAAATGTAGCAAAAAGATTTCGCAAAATGGGTAGCTAATGAAAACACAGCCATCTACTATCTTCCTTAGTTCATTTGTACCACTTGGTGCATAATTCTCTACTCTGATCGGCCGATTGTGTGCCATAATGCCCCTGTATACTACTAATGTTAGCAAATATACTGCAAGGTTTAAAAAGCTGTGCCTTCCTCTTTATGTTTTTTCCTTAGCTGAGAGAATCACACCAAAAATACTTTATCTCTTTCAGGTTGTCAGGAATGCAACTGGTAATTGCCACGAGACAATGACACGAAAATTCTGGAATGTTGGAGATCTTCTCGGTCATTTTGCACAAGTGCGTCTGGTCGATTTTAGCTCTGAAGGCTGGGGTCACATCAACTTTGACGATATGAAGGGCAACATAATTTGCACGGGCTCTAATGAAGACATTGACACTTTCCTTTAAGTTTTCGATTAGAAAATGAAAAACAGTCAGAGTATTCCGTAAAACGTTATATGATAAATGGATTAAGTTCAAGCAATCAAAGTAAAAAGCTTTATTTTCACCTCTTTAGTTCCTGTTTGTAAACTTGCTTGTTTGTTTCCTTAGTATTTCTCTATTAGACAATGTATCAGGGTCGTAAATGTACTGGACTCCGCTGCACTATTACTGAGCTCAAAGCGGGGACGCCATGTTGGTGCCTATCCAAGTGGCCTCAACATGGCGGCCATGAAGTAACGTAATCATTTGTTACCTTTTTTGGCCCCTAAAGTTATTAGTTATCCACCGTGGATAAAAGCACATAGCGATCATTCAGCGATCATAGCGGCCGTGAAGTACCGTAATAATTTGTTGTCTTTTTTGGCCTCTCAAGTAATTAGTTACCATCGTGGATAAAAGCACATAGCAACCATTGCTTCGATCGCAGTTGTAGATTTTGAGTGAACCAGACAAAAGTCCTTTAAATGAACCAGTTCTGATATCAAGACAGCATATCCAACATAAGTTATCTTTATTCACTTTATGTACTACAGTAGTATTAACGTGGAAATTGTGTAATCGAGAACAATATAAAAAAAATGACTTTTTAGACAAGCACTGAAACATGTTTTCTGTTTTTTTAAAATTCAGTTGGTCAGTTACCATACTATTGTCAGGATTTTGAATAAATGTCGCCCTCGTATAAACGCCGCACTCAAATAATGAAAAATTTAATAAACGCAGTGGCGTTTAATCGAATAAATACGGTAATTCCCTGTGCAAAGCGAGCCAAAGAGAAATCTTCAAGCGCCAGACCACTGGTAGGCCCTACCCAGGCTCATTTTGCTGAAGGCCTTAAAGGGTATGTAAACCCAAAAGTGCATGTTTTTCTTAAACTATGTAAAAAGTGCCGTAGAAAACGAATTTGAAATTAGTTTTGTCCAATTCGACTTATTTTAGGAGAAAATCGGCATTTCAACTGAAATTCCATTTCCGGTAAAAACAATAGCGAGAAGTCGTGACGTAAGCGGTGGAACTAAAATATTGCGCAACACATATTCCCCAGTGACTGGTGTGGGAGTTCGTGTAAGTAGCGTTAGTTTGGAAGATGTTTTTTCAGAAGATAGCGACTCGAATGCCTTAAGCTTAGTACATGACAGCGATGAGGATAATCCAGAATCTTTAAGAGAGTCTGGGTCACGTCCTTAACAATATGAGCCGCGTAGGGTTCACCGAAGCGATCCGCACGAGGACAGTACAGAACGTGTTGACAGCGATGCGACCGTCTCGGAAACTCAGACTGGTATTTAATTTACTGTGTGATTTATTTGTATTTGATATGAAAATCCAATAAAGCGAGGGTATAATCTAAAAGAATGCAACAGAAATTTTTTAAACTTGAGCTTCTGAGGGTGTTTTATGCAAAACTATCAAAGGTGCGAGTGTGGAACTTGTCAACCAATGCCGACAACTCATGAAAGTGTTTGTTGTACGGAAATCAGGCAATTGTGGCAAAAAGTAGAGTAGCAAGGGCCTGAAACCCAGATAAGTTGTATCACTGAGCATCCAGGTTTTCAGTCAATTTGCCTTGATTTCTGGGTGCTGGAGACGGCCAATTACGCGTACAGGCAGCAGCAAGGCCAAGATAATCACACCGGAAACGAGTAAGCTAAATGTTTTCTGTTTCATCTGTTTTGTTACATTTTGAGATCGATTTGCTTGAGTTGTTTCTGCCATTGATTTAATAATACAGTACTAAAGCTAGTTGTTTTTCGCTTCCTTTCTGGCAGGAAATTTCGCTAAATTGCCTACAGATAGCTTGTTCGTTGGTGTTGGGGATATCTCGGCAAACACTTCAGGGTCGCTGTGCCATCTTCTGCGGTAAATAATATCCGAAAAAGTTTTCCAGCGGATTTTGGATCGCCTTACACTGGATTAAAACCGCTAAACCTTTGAGAGAAACAAAGGTATATGTTAATGCAGATCTTAGTTATTTGTCTTACAGCACTGGAGGTTGTGCCCGTTCTTTATGCGATATTTATGTAATGCTTTCCTTCATCTCCGAAGCATTTCCATCGATAAACAAGTTTACCATGTACATTTCCTTGTGTGGCCTTCATAATTATCCAACCCTGTTTGGGTTTGCTTCGATTTGAAATACTGAAAAGATAGTTTTGCAAGCTGAAATTAGGATCTTTTAAGTTATACTCAAAATGATGGATATTGTCCTACTGACCTTTGAATGTATTTTCACTGCTATGAAAACCGTGACACAAATTCTTCTGCTGTTTCTCTGCTGGGTTTCTCAAAGGAAGCACCAAGTGGGGCTGGCATAGATTCCCTTATAGAACATAAGGGTTGATTATGGGATCCTGTATAGAATTATTTGTATCGAACCAACAAAATTCCAAATCACGTTATTATACACTGACATCAACGAATTCTCTTTCTTTGATACGTGTTTCGAATTCAGGCAAAGGTTCAGACAGGTCAGTGTCTTTTATGGGCTCAGCGCTGGCTCCCGAACAACTGGCTTCCCCATAGTCTTTCATTAGATGAGAAAAAAGATGTTTTTGGAGAACCAATAAAGCTATTAATGTTTAATTAACGAAACGTTTTCATGTAAATCGATTTTGTACTGTCTCTGTTAACCTCTAACTTTTGAAGAGCTCAACTTTTCTCAGTTCGGTCGGCCACTTCCGAATCCTCGTCGTCTACCGACTGTATGGGTCGTTTTTATACTTCCGAATAATTTGCTTCTGGTAGGGCCTGAATCGTCGGTACAGCACCAGGAAGAAAAATGACTGCTACAAATAACAGAATGTTCGAACGGCTCGACGGAATCGACTATTTTCACTTAAGCAAATTTCACAAATTGTCGCCTCAAATTTGCGTCATTTGAAAATATTTGCATTGGATGCCTAGTTTTGTTTAAAATCAGTACAAAACTGGACGGCACAACGTTTTACCATTATGAAAAAATTTAATATATTGAAGCCAACTGTAAGTAAAAAAATCATGACGAGACCAGCAAACAACAGCTGTGGAAAAGACTCCTTCGTGTCTCACGCGATTATAAAACGAGACTTCAGAGGTTCCGACCGTGACGTTACAGAAAAGATGGCGACATTCAAGATGGCGAATGTTTCGAATTTGAAAGAGCTTTTACAAAGTGAAAATGGACTTTTGAGTAAAAAAGAATGGTACCTTTGGTGTACTTGATATATTTACTAAACATCTATGTGAAAAGAAAATGAACGTTTTTTGGGTTTACATGCCCTTTAACTTTATTCGTAGACAAAGAAATGACACGTGTAGACTACTTTCGAGCCAATACCGTCACGCGAGTCAAAAAATTTAGGTGTTCACATTCGACTCCAAGAATTTCGTGCAGCGCGTTAACACGAATCACTAATTCTTTTCTCTAGCGCGAAGAACCTCGCCGAAAAGCAGGGGCTGCTCGCAGTCTAGCAATAGCTATGATGAATGCTTCTGGCGCCTCAGTCTGCTCTGGTTGTTTTAAAACCGAAAAACCGCAGCTCATCAACCGTGACTAGACTCTAAAGTTGACAATACCTCGACAAATATCGCCGCTTTTTGACAGATTTCTGGACGATGGCCCATAAAACTTTCGCGTTGTGTGCTCCAAAGTTAAACTCTCTTTCTCTGCAGTCTATACTTTTCAATTTTTTTTTCACGGATTGTTCCTAACAAGGACCTACTCGTAACGGGAGCCCTGAACCTCTCAGGAACGCCACTTCCATTTTTCACGAGCTGCTTACATTATGACAAAAAAGTGGTATGCAAATATCTTTTCTCTATTTTGATTTCCTATGATTAACTATCCACATGGCAATTCAGTTTAAAACAATTGATGTTCAAATTTGCCCTTTCTGAAAAAGTTCTTCTTGGTTCCTTGGTGGCAACTGCGAAAATCCAACGTTTCTCGCGCTTGATGATTATGAATTTTCGCTTAAGCTCTGAAATCGCTCTGTCACAGAATAACTTGAAGGCTAAATATTCATTTAACCACGACATATGGTGTAACGTCTAACAGAAAAAAACACGTTTGAATCAAACTACGTCAATGGCATGAGTCATCACATCAACTTATATTCACTTCGTGGAGATAACACTCTTCAAGACTAAAAACATCTCTCGTTATCATGGGTTATCGAATCTGTTTCTGTTTTATCGTTGCTCTTGTGACTCTTGATTCACTGAAGGGGTCATCAACAAAGAAGAAATGTGGGTTCACACAGGTGGGTTCAGTGAATTTCAATGTTTTGAACCTATGCTTAAAGAGCATACAGCAGACGCTGAAATCTTTGGACCAGCGACTACGTGCCCTGGAGAAACCAAAAGGTACAAATGCATGTTTAAAACTGTTGGGTGTAGCTAGTTCCTAGAAAATAGAGCCTAAAGAATTTTAATCCAGATCAATTTCAAACTCGGGTCGGAAATTTCGGTCTTCTTGCTCAGAACTGTTTCTTATTCGCATCACGTTAGTAAGAGTATTTTGAAAGAGAGTATTTTTGCTGTGGGTGTCCCCGTTCAGAGCTCAAGGTTAAAAGTTTAGATCCAGTTATAATTAAATTAGATTATCAGCTGGCATAGGAGCTCTGGTAAGTCACACTGAATTTGAAATTACAGATTTGCGGCCTAATGGCACCCGGTTCACCAGAGCTGCTGTAACTTTGAATCAGGGTTATTGCATAGTTTTGGCCAGATTTGGCAAATTATCAGAGTTATAACAGCTCTGTGCTGATCAAACAACCTAAAGTCATTAAATTGCTAACGTCTCACAAAGTACCGTCTGAGCTTCAAACCGCATAATTCATCTGAAAAATTACTCATATTGTCGCGGCTCAAGACACGTCTATATAGCCTCTGAATTGCAAGAAGGAAGATATACGAAGCAGGACTAAACCTTTACTTAATTATTTTAAACGTACAATTGTGTAGAAGGCAGAAAGTAAACTGGAAGATAAATTGACTGAACTTGAAATCTCTTTACTATCGAAGTCAAGGCCTGCAGGTTCGACTTTGAACACGGAATAGGGGCCTGGGCTAAAACTGGTACAGTGTTCAATAACCAGCCAACCTACGGTGACAACTCTGCAGCTCGGTACCAAACACCTGCCAATCAGCAGGGGGACTGGTGGATTGGGGGATTCGAGAACAGACCCTCTATATCTTCCCCTAGAGGAAAAGTACAGGGAGACAGGCCACAAGGAACTCTTACCTCCCCAACCTTCAAAATAAATGGCAAGTACATCTCATTTTTGATTGGCGGAGGCTGTGATATCAAAGTGATTCGAGCAGAGTTGATCATCGGTTCGAAGGTAAGAATGCATGAGATAGTTGGAACACTTTTAACTGGCCACGCTACCTTAATGCAATTGGTAGGTTTTTTTTTAAATTTCTAAGGATAACAACTACAGAGGATTCTAAGATCTTTTAGGGGGAAATTTACGAAGGTAAGGGATTACTAAAATCCTTAAGGATAGGAGAATGAATCTACGAAAAGGAGAGAATGTCAACAAAAAATTGCAATTATCTTTGAATTAATTTTAGGGCAGTTTTCAGTTCTACCCTGCATAGATATCGCTGGCTTGTTCAGGTTGAAACTTGTCTTGAATGGTTATATACTGGATATAGAGATATTTCACAGTTTTTAAGCCTGATAGTTGTCCATTTTGATCGCGAAATTAATAATCTTAATTGACGATACTGACTCATTGTAGAAGATTTATCATCCTTTCTCCTTCACCTTAGCTCCACCTATCGTTTTCTAGGTGGTGAAACAAGTCACTGGAAAATGTCATGAGACCATGATTCGAAGGTTCTGGGATGTTGGAGCTTACATTGGCCAAAGTGCGCGCGTCAAACTGGTTGACTTCAGCTCCGGATCATGGGGTCATATTAATTTTGATGATCTCAAGGGCGACATAAGCTGCTAGTAACACTGTTTTCTCGAGCTTAGAGGAGTTCAAATGGAAAAGGGGGGAGTTAAAGGGTAAATTAACGGTTGTTAAACATCAATGTAGTCCTTTTAAAAATGTGGGAAATAAAATCATCTAACATGCTAAGTTTTTGTTTGTATTTCATGTTCTTATGATCTTTAAGAAGGAAAAAGCAGCCACAACGCACACGCATTCATTTAAAAATTATTGCAATGACACAGC